TTGTGGCCCCACCCCATAACAAAGAAACAGAATTTCTGGAGGATGAGGCCCAGAAATCAGGATTTTAAAAAGATTCCCAGGTGATTCTAATGTGCAGCCAAGGTTGAGAACCACTGCCCTAGACATCCAAAAAGCAGGTGGTTTTCAGTAATGGAATAATGAAAATATCCCCTCAGATAAAGGATACTGACACTGTTTACCCTGTGTAATAGGCACCAATCTTCATCTCCTTCTTCATTTCCTTGAGAGAAATGGCCAACCTTCCTGTGCCCAGCCTACAGACAGGTGGCCTCTGGTGGTTCCAGGATCTCACACTATCTGACCCCACCTACATATTACCAATGGTAGTCACTGCTACAATGTGGGGTGTCCTTGAGGTAAGTCCAGGTTGGCCAAGTGCCAGGCCTGCAAAGTGAACTGGGATTAGGGGTAACGTAGTTGTACAGAATAGTCATTCTTTACTCCCTGGAGGAATAGCATTGATGGATAAGAAATTTGAGCCATAGTCACTAAAATTGCTACTCTTCCTCTGCTTTTTTTGTTTGTTGTTTTGGCAGTTAGGTGCTGAGACTGGTGTGCAAAGTTCTGACCTCCACTGGATGAGAAATGTTATGAGAGTGATACCCCTGGCAGTCTTGCCCATAACTGTCCATTTCCCCTCGGTAGGTAATGACTTAGGGGCCAGCTTCAAGTCCTTCCTCCTAGCCTAGCCACCTCCCAGCAGGCTGATCAGGGATGCAGCTTCTAAGTACCTTCTCTTCCTTTTCGTCTAGGCAGTGTTCGTGTATTGGTTCTCCTCGAATATGTTTTCCCTGGTCCAGGTGTCTTGCCTCCGGATTCCAGGTGTACGAACTATGCTTAAAATCCCCCAACGTGTTGTGCACGACCCCGACAAATTACCTCCACGGGAAGGCTTCATAAAGAGCTTCAAAAGTGGTAAGGGCCTGTCCTCTGAATCAGGACCAGGGGAAAGTGGTCTAAAAATAGGCATGAGATCCAACTGTCTTACTCTTTATATAGGCTGGAAGAATGCTGAACTCAACTATCAGCTACAAGAGCGTGAACGGCGCATGCAGAATCACTTGGAACTAGCAGCCAGGGGTAAATAACCCTTTCAGGCTAAATTCTATCATTGTTTCTCCCTTTCTTTTGTTCATTAACCTTCTCTTCTTTCCCGCCCCTCTCCTATCCTGTAACGCTTCCTTTAAGAGTTAGGAAGTGACCTTTACCCACAACCCTCTGCTACAGCATGGTAAAAATCCCCCCTCCCAACACCCCTAACAGCAGCAGCAGCAACAAACCAAAGTCAGAGCGACCCTGGCGGGACACACTCGGCTGAATTCTGTTCCCTGCTCATACTGACATTAACTGTTTCTCCAAAGACTCAGCCTTAGAACAAGATTTTTGCTGGGTCCTTGCCCCAGACCTAGAAACTATGGGACATGGAGATGTCTGTTTTAAAATGGATTCCACTCTAAACTCTTACATCTAAGCATAAAAGAGCACTCGGGAGCCAAGTGATCTTTCCATCTACAGAATTAGTAAACCTCTGTATTATATGTTGCTTCCTGGTACTTATTAAGTGGGGAGGTGGATTGTGTGCTTCAGAAAAACTAAAGAACAGGTTGATGGTGATTGCTCTTGCTGGCCCGTGCTCTTAGGAAGTGTGTCAGTGAAGTAACCTGGTGTTAAGAGTTTAGATCTCCACCCCATAAATGTGTTTTTGCAGTCACAGAGATATGCCTGATAAGTTGAGATTATATTTAAATAGAATAACCACATTTATTTATTCCAAGATTATCTATAAAATATCCTTCAAGTAGATGTGCTCAAATTCTTTTTTTTTTAATACATTTTTATTTCAGAGAGGAAGGGAGAGGGAGAGGAAGATAGAAATATCAATGATGAGAGAGAATCATTGATTGGCTGCCTCCTGCATGCCCCCCATTGGGGATTGAGCCTGCAACCTGGGTATGTGCCCTGACCGGAGGAATCAAACTGACCTCCTGATTCATAGGTTGACACTCAACCACTAAGACATGCCAGCTAGGCTCAAATTCTTAGTGGTAATTAAGAAGAATGAAAATTGATGTCGTTTTTTAATCTAACAACCCTAACGTTTTGCTACAGCAGCTTAGGGGTAGTGATTGGTTTTATCCAGCTGTTCTCAACCTGTGGGTCACAGACAATGAAAATACATCCTGCATATCAGATATTTACATTATGATTCATAACTAGCAAAATTATAGTTATGAAGTAGCAATGAAAGTGATTTTATGGTTGGGGGTCAGCACAACATGAGGAACTGTATTAAAGGGTCGCGGCATTAGGAAGGTTGAGAACCACAGCGGGCTTGAGAGGGAAGAAATACTCGCGTACTTTCAAGCATTAGATTGTTTTTAGTTTTCCTGCCAGTCTAATAGGAACTGCCCCAGAGACATTATGTAAAATGACGCCACTCAAAGCTTAGGAACATAACCCTTTTATTGTCCAGCACCCATACATTTTCATGTCTCTCTAAAGGAGACAGGAAGTTTGGAGCATTATTGGCCCTTTTAAAGGAAAAGTGGTGTAGTTAGGCACACCCAGAGATGAGTGAATATCTTAACACATGGGAATGTGCTACTAGAATAACCAAACCCACACCTGACATGCTCCCACCACAGTCTGCTTTATTATCCCTTTTTAAAAATCTGGAACAATATGTAGCAAAACAAATAAATTACTGTCTATCTCAGAAAAAGCAAGTTCAAAGGTTGTTGAAGCTGCCTAGACCAGGCTTCTGGACAGGTGCCTCCAAAGAAGTAAGATTCCTTTTCAACTTCCTTGGCTCCAACCAGTAGAAGATGAGGTTCTGCTTTTCATATCTCAGGATTCCGGGTGTTATTTACTTAGACTTGGGATCTTGTTGCTTGGGCATCTCTCCTTCATCTTCCAAATCCATCTCTGCAGCAACTGACATACATATGACCTGGAGGTACCATGTGGCAGATGCTACAAAGAGAAGTTTGAATCAAAACTCAGAAGAGGTCAACTGGTCTGAGCTCCAGTGGCACTGAATAGGATTGGGCCTGAGGAGACAATTCAGTTAAGCCTTAGGGTTAACTATGGGAAGGGGCTGTGGCAAAGGTGACTTGGAACAGGATTTTCAGCAAAGGCCAAAAAAAGTACATTAGCCAAGCTAACCTGAGGATCCAGATCTTACCCACAATCCTTCGGAGGCAATGAGGTCGTTTTTGTTGTGGCACTCTGATGATGAAGAAGTAAAAGGGCAAGCCTGAGAGGGCAATGCCAATGCCAATGAGGGAGTTGATGGTATCGCTGTAAAGTGGAATGACCACCAGGAAGATGGTACAGCAGCAGAAGACAATGGGGAAGAAAAGGCTGAGCTAAGGGCACAGAAGAAACAACTGGAAATTAGCTCAGGATTGACAGCTAAAATAACCCCACCTCTGTGAAGATCAGAGCACTAAGCTGCCTTTCTATTCCCTTCATCTCAACACACTGACACCAACAAGTCCAGGGCAAAGGTTTCTAAATCATCTTAGAATCCCCAGGGCAGATGGAGCAGAGGTGGGATGGAGGTGACTTACCTTAAGGGAACGAGGTCGATCAGGCTCCTTCCAGCGTAGATAAAGCTGACCCACAATTGAGAGCCCCACAAAGAACCAGTAGCTGAAGCTATAGTAGTTAATGAGCTGGAAGATGTCCTCCACACATAAGTAGATCAATGCCATGATTCCCTGTAAGCACAATCAGCTCCTCAGGGCCTTTGTTTTTCACTCCCCTTTACCGAGTCCCTCTCCTTTGTCAAATCCTCAGAGCCTCCCCATCTGTCCTTTTCTGTTCCCACCTGAGTTTAAATACCTCATTCCTTTTCTATAAAGTATAGCTCAAAACAATTCCTCAAAAATCTGCTTAGCCTGTCTGGTGTTGCTCGGTGGTTGAGCATCAACCTATGAACCAGGAGGTTATGGTTCGATTCCTGGTCGTGGCACATGCCCAGGTTGCAGGCTCAATCCCCAGTGTTGGGTGTGCAGGAGGCAGCCAATCAATGATTCTCTCTCATTGATCTTTCTATCTCCTTTCCTCTCTGAAATCAATAAAAAATACATGTTTTTAAAATTTTTTAATCTTTTGCTTAAAGGCCCTCCCCATAATGGCTCCAACCTATATTTCCAGCTCAGCACCCACTATCCAACTTCACATTGCTTTACCTCAGAACTTTCTGATGCTGTTACTCGTAACCTAATGCACTTAGTCAAAGAAGTCTTTCCTTGTTCACCCTTTTCCCCCATGGAAGTAGTTAGTTTCCTCCCTAAACACTACATCACTGACTATCATGGCAGTCATTATAAATAATCCCATGTGCTTTATCCCTTATCCTAAACCAAAGGAGATTACCATTCCTTAGAGAAGATAGATTCTCTCTTAGGAACCACTGCAGCAGTTAGCAGAGTGTTTGCCCACAATATGTTCCATTAGTATTTTTTTCTGTTAGAATCTCCTTTAGATTTTTTAGAAAGCTAGTACAACTGCCTCTACTGTTCCTAAAGTTTCCCCCACAATCTGGCTTTCAGCCTCATCCTTGGTATCACTTACATTGAAAAGTAGTGCAGGCACTGGGGTGAACCGATGGACATGAATCATGCAGATAGCATCAGGGAGATGGCCTTCTCTTGAGCCCACAAAGAAAAGCCTATTTTAAGTAAAACAGGAGAAATTGAGGAACATGGGACACTAGGTATAGCCTGGTTCATGAGCTAAAGGGCCCTCACTTTGCCATCACCTCCAAAAGAATAGATAATATGGAATGGAGCTCAATATAGAGATTAGTAAGAACTGGAGGCTACTGATGGAAACAAGAGCAAAGAGGTTGTGAATGTCATTTGGGGAGCACAGTGACTAAAGTCTGGACCCTATAAGTCCTACCTCCCCCTGCCATAGTTTTCAAAATACTTTTCAGTAAAAGATACCGTTCATACCTAGAAGCAGCCACAATGGAAGCATTGAGGCCACCAAAGCAGGATAATGCAACTGCTATTGGAATTGTCCAGTTGAATATTCCAAAAATCTGGTCTGCAAAAGTCTAAGGAAAAGAGTCATTAGGGATGAAAGGCATGGACAGGCATGTCCCTAGATTCCCACTACTTGGAATCCAACCCTTCTACTACAGAGGTAACAGTACCTCCTTACAAGCCCAGTATCCAAGTATCCTTTCAAGGACTGTCTCTTTACTGGGACTTTCGAGAGCTGCACTGTACCTAGAAGCCCACAAACACCCTCAGCCTTCTCTGCTAATGAAAATCATTTACCACAGCAACAGCATCACTGGCCAGGATGTCCTTCATGTCTAGCACGGTGTAATAGGCCACATTGGTCAAGATGTAGATGATGGTGACAATGGGCATAGAAATGCCAATGGAAAGGGGCAAATTCCTACAACCAAATAGAATAGTAGATACGTTAGTCCGTAGTCTCATCCTCATCTCTCCTTTAATCCTTAGCTTTGAACTCATATGAACTAAAGAACATCAAGGGAAAGGGTAATCACATTTAGAGAAACAGCTACAATGCCTAAATAAAGTAAAATAAAATAAAGGATTAACAAAGAACTGTGTCATATCATAATAATAGCACACAGTTCTTTGTTAATCCTTTATTTTATTTTACTTTATTTAGGCATTGTAGCTGTTTCTCTAAATGTGATTATCCTTTCCCTTGATGTTCGTTTTGTTTTCTGTTTTACATCCAAGAATTCTTTATAATTGTGAACACTGGAAAAAATTAAAATAATAAGAAAAAATTGTCTAAGGTTGAGAAATATAAGAAGACATGAAGGCCAAGTCTCCAGAGAAAAAGATAGTCCCTCAGTAGGAAGAACAGTGTGTGTATATGAATAAGCAACCTGGGAGATATGTCCACTCACCCCCTTACTCAGTTTGAAAACCTTGGATACCACCCTAACCAGTGGCCAAGAGAAAAATGCAAAGACTTCCCAAGGTCCCTCTAGCCCAAATAAACCCATGATCTTTATAAACATTCTTCGCAGAATGGAGGGGGGAAAGGGGCGGGACTAAATACTCTCAAGTCTTTCAGCTTCTGTCCAGTAGGTGGAAGTACCACCCAGGCCTCAATCCTGTTTCTGTTTGCTCTGGTTTCAACACTGGAAGTGTACCAAACATATTCTTTGTTTCTCAATGCCAAAAGGAATCTATTATTCTTTTGACAAAAAATTTATAGAAACTCCACTCCTTGGCAAAGCTTAGTTCCCAGAATTACTGAATTTCAAAGCCAGGAAAAGCTCTGAGATCATATAATTCACCCCCCTCTGTTAGACATAAGTAAGCAGATAGATGTCCAGAACTCCCTCAAGGTCATCCAACAAATCAGTGGAGAGGCCCTATGAATCCCTGTCCAGTGCTCTTCACCCTGCATAACTAGAGGGTAATTTAGGGTAACAATGGGGAGGTGATCCCATTGAATGACAATACCACTATGCTAGTGTAAATTTGAGAAACAAAGGATCAGAAGAGAAACAGGAAGGGTTCTGGGAGTCTGAG